TTGGGTCAGAGTACAAGAACTGACCAACCACAGTCGAGTGTTCCCCTGTCATTCGACTGTACAGAAGAATACTCGACTGTGATTGGTCAGTTCTTGTACTCTGACCCAGCTCTAACCCTCGGTGGAAACTTATGGCGAATTCGATTGGAAGAACTAGTGCGCACTGGTGCATATTAAAGCCGTTGTACACTAATTTAATTTAAGTGTAAAAATGAAATGTAAATATTTTGAATTATGAAATACATATTTTATATTACCTAATAGTACAATAAAATGTATTAAGTATTTCACGATTTAATCGATCTCTATGTTTATTTGTAAATATAGCTTTACGTTATTTCGTGTACGACAGCTTTAATGTGCACCAGTGCGCACTGAGTGTGTCCAATCGAATTCGCTATTAGTCACTGTAACAAGGGAATGCTCGATTGTAATTGGTTTGTTTTTGTATTCTGACCCAGTTTGAACCCTCGGTGGAAACTAGGCCATTGACGAATATCAAGATTCAATTTTGATAACGGGACCTATTTTGACCCTGAAAATGAGTATTGAGTGTCAGCATGAAAAGGCATCTTTTAAGGTGCATTCACATGCAAGCGTCAAGCAGCGGAAGCAGTAACCAATCAACGAAGCGAATGTTACAGTGGCGTAAAAAATATTTTTTACATCACTACCCGTATCGCCCAGCTGATTGGTTGCTGCTTCCACTGCTTGACGCTTGATACTTGCATCTGAATGCACCTTAAACGTAATTTGCGTCGGTCAATCAAATCGTATCAAATTGTATCAGCTACTACGCGTTATTCTAGTTGAGATGATTTGATTGGCTGACGCAAGTTACGCTTACGCAAGTTATGCTGCATGTGAAAGCAGCCTAATGACAGGTTTGAATTACGTCATGGAGACAGATATGGCCGATATTCATAGTCGGTTCTTATTTCAAGACCGTCTTAAGTAATATTTTAAGACGCTAATGCGACTTTTCTGATTGATTTGTGACTTCTTAAGATCGTACTTAAGACGGTCTTGAATATAAGATCTGACTATGGCCGTGGTCCGATTCATGCTGATAATGCTCATGAGCATTATTTGTCTTCGTTCAACATTTGATAAACGACAAGGATGAAATAATTTTTAAGCGTTGGAGCAAGAATCGGACCGCGGCCTATGAATACCGGTCTATATTGCTTTTTCCATATTAAGACCCAATTCTGATTGGCTAATCAAATCGGTTACTGCGCATCACTCAAGTTGACTCACCTGTCTTCTTCCACCATGTTACATCTGAATCTTTGAACTTGGTACTCCTTGCTACTCTTGTTGATTGTTGATTAGTGGACGTTTGATTGTCAAAAATATTTTGTTACTTTACGAGAGATTCAGTAAACAAACTAATTCGCCAAAATGACTATGGCAATGTTGCAACGTCGCGCCAATGTAAATGTATAAAATGATTTACGCATTATCGACAGATTACGATCTCACTGCTAACTCTAACCTAACTTTCTGTATATTATTATTTTGTAATAAATGAAATTTTTATTTTAGGTAAGGCTGCCACCCGAAGTAAATAGAGTATTATACATCAGGAATTTACCATATAAAATCACAGCTGAAGAAATGTACGATATATTTGGCAAATACGGAGCTATCAGACAAATTAGAGTGTAAATATTATGTTATTACAATTGACGCAGTCAAAATAAAGTCTATCTCTCTCTATGACAATTTAATTAAAATTATGATTCTTATTTTAGAGGTAACACGGCAGAGACCAGAGGTACAGCATTTGTTGTGTACGAAGATATATTTGACGCAAAGAATGCATGTGACCACTTGAGTGGTTTCAACGTATGCAATCGTTATTTGGTGGTTCTATATTACCAGAGCAATAAAGCATTTAAGCGAATTGATGTTGACAAAAAAATGGAGGATCTAGATAAATTGAAGACAAAATATAATTTAAATGATGAAAAAAAGTAGTTTATTGACATTTATAAGAGATATGGAACTGTGGCGCTTACAAAATATTTATTAAAATACGGGATATCTGGTAAGTTTTGACAAAACGCTCGTATGTAGATAGAGCGGGCTAAATTAAGTCAAAAAGCATTTTGTGATTTTTGTAACCTTTTTTCTTAATTATCCAATAAGCAGAATGTTTAAAATCAATAAAACAGCTAAGATTCCTTTAAGAGTTCTTTATATAAGAAACATCTTTAAGATATTTTATAAAGAATTCTGAAAGAAATCTTAAAGTTGTTTTGTGCATCGACTTTATTCACTTATTTGTCAATCTTTAGAAATTAATATCTCGTTGACTATTGCGAAAATTGCAAAATAGTCGAGGACATGTTTTCGACTCAGTTTAGTCCGTTCTATCTACGCACGAGTGCTTTGTCAAAAACTTACCGGACACGTTGTATAATTACATCAATAATTTCATTGTTATATTGTATCAATTAGATGTATAACACTTAAGATATGTGAGAAATATTAACTTTAAGTGATACGAATAAAACTTGTATTATATGATACAAATAAATTTGTATATAATTTTCTCTAGTTCTTGGTATAATTTTCTTTGCGCTGATTCAATTTTTATATTTTACAAATATTTCATTTATTATTAATTTAGTAATAATGTTTTGTCGCTTATTTTAATCTTGCTGGTACAAGACAGGTTACGTTTTCGAGCCTTCCCCGAAAAAACATAGAAAAACCTGATCGAAAAAATGTCGGCGCATTAAAAAGTCGCAATTAATACTACTTTCACAGTTGGTTGCGGAGTGACATTCCTGCGCTTTCAGGGACTCGAGAGGATGATATAGCTATAGCGTAGCTAAAGCACCACTCACACTGTTTCTTGTACAGTGACATATCGTAATATGTTGTAACGAAATTTTCAATTTAACTGAGAAGTGACGAATTTTGTTCGTCTTTACTTTGTTTCACGTGCCTTTAATAGTCATCTGTTTTATTATTAATTATAGCTGATGATTGCGATATATTGATTTTAAAAAGCTATTTTTCTTTCAAACCTGTAAAATTTCACATTTACGCAAAGATATTTATAATAAAATTTTAAAAAAATGAAAAACGGAGGAGTCATTTCGCCCGCCCGTTGACAGGTTTCTTTATTACGCGAACAATTTTGTTTCCTTATATAAAATATATTATTTTCTGTTATATGGATTTATTTCACTTTATTAACGTTACGTTCATAAATTGTTATTTTAATATTAATTAAGAAATATTGAATATCAATTTAACACAAAAATATTCAAATACCAATCATATTGTGTTAAATTAATACTCGAATATACTAAACATTTAACATAAAATTTTAATAAAGACTTAAGTGGATCGTTTCTCTAACATAAATGCAAAATGTTTTTTCTTGTGTAAAAAATAGAAATGGTGAATAATGTCCGCTCGATATATATTTGTAGTATTAATCGCGCAGCACGAGATTTCAGGGTCGGACGCGTCCGCGAGCGTGCACGCACGCGCGACGCACCGCGTCGCGACGCACCCACACGCGGACGGAGCAGCGGGCGTGCGATCCGTACTCATTCGATTTCAGTCAGTTGAAAGCGAAAACCCGCTTGGCGTTCACGCCGCCGTACCTCGACGAACGGACGTACGGACGCACGGACGCACGCACGCACGTTCGTACGTTCGCGAGATCTCGTCCCATTTGTCGACGTTGCGTTCAATTCAACATACGCATCAGTCGCGGAACTCGATATCTCCTTACGGGACCGAGTCACGACTTCGCGGCGCGTGCCGCATCGCGCCGCGTCGTGTCGCGTTGTACTCGCAATTTTTATTTTCATACTAGACAGCGACGCGGCGTCAAATGTCGTATGATTGCTGTGGCGGCGACGGCCGCGTCGCCGGCGAGTCGCTTGGCGCCGCCCTGCGCGGCACGCTGCATCTCATCCACGAGAGTTTCAACGAGCTACTCGGCGCCGATTCGCAACATCTTTCGTGGATGTTCGTCGTTCTCACCGTCGCCAGCCTGCTTCTTCTCGTCGTCCTCGCCGTCGTCAATCTGCCGCTGGTCGCCAGTCTGCTCGTCACTGAGCACTACCGTCAATGCACTTACGTCGCATCGAAAGTCACTAGATCGCTAGACAGGAATAGAACGATATCGCCAGCATCCGACGATTACGAACATGACCTGTATGACGAATAAAAATATTTCGCCGCCGGCTGTCAGCGACTGAAGTACATACGACGCATGAAAACGCGAGAGTTGTGAGCTGTAATCTCTCCCAGCGGGGCTTTATCATTTGGAATGACACGAGTGCGTCGGTGCGAGCCCCTGGGACTCTGCAGAACGCCAGAATGCGGATTCAAGGACTTGGTCGGAGACGGACTCACGTTGCACTTTGCAAAGTCACTAGAGCGTATCGCGACAGAATATATTCGGCGATACGTGACAGCCGCCGGTTTTACAGTGGCGTGAATTACTCCCCTTTTCCCATAAAAATAAACAGCTATGAAAGTTGTGCAATTGCGTATTTATATCGACCTAATAGCTTATTATATCGCTCGCTAGCCTAAAACGTTTCACAAACATTTTCATACGTCGCGTCGCGTATGAAACTCGTAACGTGAAATCTATAAACATTCCTGACGTTTACTATCTCCCATTGTTCGCTCAATAATCGCCCATTTGCCAAGAGAATGACGCGCTCTTCAAAATAAAACGAAATCAAACGTTTATGCATTAAGACGAAATCATTTATTTTCCGTAAACTCGAGGAAGAATTTTGCCTACATCTAACGAGTCACATATAAGTCCTTCTGAAATCATACAGTTCCTATTTAATGCCCTCGACGAAATTGTTTTCATCGTCGCGGCGTGTATATGTATACGATCGTAACGATTCATCTCACTCGCGCAAATGTCATGCGCGAGCTTGGCCCGTCGCCTAGAAACGCGCCGTGTAAGCATTACATCTCCCCCCGTCCCCGGCTCGACATCGACTGTGTATAATTCAAATTCAATCGCCGCCAACTCGTCCCGCGGAAGTACAATATGGCGGGCGCGGCCCTGGCCGCCGCTGATTCGATTGGCGCGTGCGCGCGCCGCGTGGCGCCGCCGGCGGTACGCTGATCACGTGACCGCGGACTCCGCGGTAACTTCAGTTCGAACGCGCGCGGCTATGGTGTATCACGGAGCATTGAGCGCCAGCGGCATATTATTCACCGTTCTCGTCCCAGTCGCCGTCGACGACGTCGCAGACTCACCGACGACGTGCGTGAGTGAACGAGCGACCGACGCGAGAGGATGCGACGACCACCGTTTCATCGCGACGACCCGCATCCTATTGCCTGCAGATTCACATCGAGGTAAGTGCGCACCTTATTCACTCGTGCGGCCATTATCGCCGCGCGCGTTTTTCTTCGCGCGAAAATTCTCAGAAAAAACATCACGCGGAAATCGTATCGCAGCTGGTACTTGCCTAACGATCCATTTTAATATATATTTCCTTTCCTACAATCTTTCTCGCGTTATTTTGTGTTCGTAACATTCGCTTTTATTTCCTTCAATAATTTTTCTCTGATCAAGCATCGGTTGCGTATAATTCAAATTCAATTGCCGCCAACTCGTTCCGTAGGTATGCAATTGTATTCAGTATAAAATGTTTATTTTGCAAGTGTTAGAAGTTTTCAACTGTTTCTTCAACAGTTTGCAACTTTTACAACTTCTGATTGGATTATACTTTCAGATACTCTATAAAACTTTTAGAATAAACTGTCAGTCTGAAAAGTGAAATCTCACTCTTAAAAATCGAAAATGAGCCACTCTTTTTCAAAACTTATTCAGTTTTCACCCTTTAGAGTGAGATTCTACTCCAAAAAGTTTAGATAGACTCTGGGTTCCGTAAAGCACATATTAAGCATGATGTATTATTTTATGTTTGTTTAATATTCGGTGAAGGACGAGGAGAAAATGATACATCACGTGCATCGTGCTCGATCTTTTCGGAACGTAGCCTCAGAAAAATAATCCTAATATTTTAGTGAAGAAAACTTGCAATAGTAAAATTTCATTACAAAATTTCATTGTAAAATAAACATTTGACGGAACGCGGCCAATATAACATAAGCATAGCACGCGCATTTGATAGATTGGCGGCAGTTGATTTGATTGGCGCGTTGATTGGTGCGCGCGCCGCGCGGCGGCTCAGTAGTCGCACGGAACGCGGTAGCTTCAGTTCGAACGCGCGTGGATACGGCGTATCGCGAAACGTTGAACGCGAGCGGTACGTTTTCCATCGTTTTCGTCCCCGTTATCGTCAATGACTTTGCAAACATATCCGGAATACGCGTGGCTGAACGAGCGATCGACGCAGAAGGATGAGGCGATCCGCGTTGTTGTATCGCTCTCTGCGATGCTTGTCGAGACGTATCAAGGTGAGCGCGCACGTTCATTCGCGTAGCCATCTTTACCGCGCGTGTTTTTCTTTGCGCGGGGATTCGCGACGAGAAAAATTACACGAGTACAAAATTATATCAAGTACGCAGCATTTGGCTAACGACTTATTTCGTAATTTTCTCTGCAACCCGTTCTGCGTCATTTTGAATTCCGATGAATCAGGAAGCCGATTACGGATATTGAAACGAGGTGATAATTACGAAAGTGAGCAAATTCATTAGAATTTTATGATTTCATTAGTCAACACCTAGTAAATTTTGTTCACTTTTGTAATTTTCACCTCGTTCCAAAATCACACAATCAATCCCTAGGCTCGATGCAACATTCGCACTTTGGCTTTTGTTAGTAATCGTCATATGAAATTTTCTGGTCGTTGTAAAGGCCAATAAAAATTATAAATATTAATATAATTTATTTGGAAGTTTGATATTTTTGAATTTTTTATTGACGGCGTATATATGATGCACACATATTTATAGAACATATATGTAATATATACGTGCAGATATATTTTACATTTTTAGATCTGTATTGAATAAAAATGTCTTGGAAAAGTTTTATGATAATAAACGGTTTAACTGTGATTGTTCATTGATATATATCTGGAAAATGAATCTTGTATCAATTAATGTCAAGGTAGGTAATGCAATTAAAAACAAACACTATTACATTGATAATAATTTATGTATGAATAAACTTGACATATTTTGAACATTTAA